TCTATTTACGAACTTTATGAACGTTCTCAGACGGGAATGTAATTTTAGAATTTTGAATCGATTCAAAATTCGATGACGACCATACCGTTCTGTAATCAGGTCATGTTGACCTTCTAGACTAAGGGACGCGTTCTACGACGTTGCACTCCGACGTGGTGCGACCTGAACGAACTGCGAACGAGATGGACGTATTGAAGACTGTTTAAGAACGAAGAAGCTGATTATTTCAGACATATTTCCCGACCACAGCCAGATTGAGCCCGTTTGACGACGTTTTCGTAGGACTGACAAGAACGGGTAAGAACTAGTTTGGTGTGATAGGGGGGTAAGGCATGGCAAACAAAGTTATTATAAAACGTTTGGCACTGATACAATAGTAGCTTAGGGACCTGTTATATTGAGAATAAGTGAAATATATGGAGATTGATCAATATGAAAAGTGAGAAATATAAAAATATAAAAATGGCCATATTACACAAGTATCGAATTTCGCCACTTCACAAAAAATGATAAACGGGGAAATTTGTTATACATGTGTATTTCTAGTTTTTATTCATATTTTGTCAATATATTATTAATCCTAAATGAAACAAGGTCAAGGTTGCTAGATAGCAATAACAAGTAAATTTGGCTCCACATAATTTATCAAAAATACATGGATATAGAAACCAGTTGTGGTTTTGGACTGTATAGGAGTTAGTATAAACATACAGTGCATCAGGAGAAGAACTCAGGAAGTACTATTGTGATTATATTACTGAACAATTCAAGGTACATTTTCTGAACATTTGCAGTTGGAAATCTCATTTTCTAACATTGGAGCCTCCATACTTGGCACTGCCTTGGTGAGCTAGCTAATTTCCTACACAGTATAGGGACTTGTAATTAGCACTATGGCTAGTCCCAACTTTTCCACAGTAAGTCAGCTACTTTCAACACCACCTGGATTCACACAAGACTTAATTACTAATGACTCATTAGATGGAAGCTTTTCTACAATTATGAGCAGCCAAAGTAGCCCTACTACTAGTATACCAGAAACGCAATCACAAACAGGTGATGCAAGCCCTGCTAATTCACAGACTGTAAACCTTCAAGTACCAGCACAATCTAACACTGGACAATCAGGTGTATCACCACCTACACATACACCTACTAATTCACCAAACGAACCACCCCAAGCTAGTGGTGTACCCACACGGCGGCGCAGCAAACGCAGACTGGCTAGATCTCAACCTGCACGTCCTAGCACTGTGATATCTAAACCACGCAGAGGCCGCCCACGTAAGACTGCTCAAGCGTCGCAAGGGGCTAACAAACCCCAAGATCCCACATCCTCACATCCTATTGACTTACTGACAGTTATGAATATGGTGAGGGACCTGAATGAAAGTGTCAAGAACCTTAATAACATGCAAAAAACTAATGAAGATTTAGTTAAACAACTCGCTAGGATAACAGCAGATAAGGAGGAATTACATCGAGAAAATGCTGCACTTAGAAATCAACTGAGCAATGCTAGTACAATGCCAAACAATACCCTCCCCTCTCTCCTTATTGGCTCTTCCATAGTGCGTGATGTCGACTCAACCAAGCTTGTTAACACTGAAGTAAAATGCTTGCGTGGTGGAACTATTTCAGATGTTCATAAAACACTTTCATCTGGTGACACTAACTACAACACAATTTACCTGCAAGTCGGAAGCAATGATTGCGCCCGAGGTAATGATGTCAACCTTATATGCGAGGACTACAAATTACTCTTGGCAGGTGCAAAGCAGCGCTCAAAAGACATCATCGTTTCAAGTGTCACACCTAGAATGGACGACTCAGACGCCCAAAGCAAAATTGAACAACTAAATGGATTCTTACTCTGCCATTGCTCCGATGAGAAAGTCACATTCATCGACAATGACAAAATCTTCAAACTTCAGGATGGGTCCATCAATGATGGCTTTCTGGCTGCTGACCACCTACACCTATCTGATTCTGGAACTAACCGACTTCTGAAGAACCTGAACATTTCAACAAAGGCATCTGACATAACATTACCTAAAAACAAGCGAGCCCCACCCAAGCGCACAACCCAAAGACCACAGCAATCCACACAAAAGACACCACCCAGCCCATATGAATCTGACGCCAACAACACCCCCCAGCATCCACCACAGCATACAACCCGCCCCTGGAACAATCGTAGACCTACATCAAATGGTTACATAAACACTAGCAAAGCAAAGCAACATAACGCCTACAAACCTACTACCCACAATAACAATGCAATGAACAATAAAATTAAGTGCAAAAAATGTGGTGAACCAGGACATCTAGTTACAACATGTTGGCATCCTGCAACTGTCCGGTGCCACCTATGTAAAGAACTGGGGCACAAGCAATCCCTGTGTCCAAGATCCCTACAACAATCAGACTCTAACATGAATGGTAGCAAAACAGACAATTATCCCAGGGTTAAACCACAAAGTTTACTACAACATAAAAACTCTTACCCTTTTAATGGACCAAGCTATGAATCTTTTAACAGGTTTTCAGTGCTAAGCTAAAATCACGGCAATGAGTGTGCCATATCCAATGTAAAATCCATGGCCTCACCACCTGTACCAGTCTCCAATTCTTATAACAGTAATGATACATGTAAGTCGAAGAGACCAAGCCCAAACATGCGCCCAAATCGTGGTAGACACAGAAGATCACGGAAACACAAAAATAATGTGCATGTCAATAACCTTACCCTAGTATTTAATAATGTACAACACCTCGGTCTTGCCAAACAGCAAGAACTTAAAAGGTTCCTTGATAACAATAAAGTTCACATTATGGGTATGAGCGAAACCTTCCTAACGCCTAACTCCTCTCTATCAGCAATGTTTTCTAACCACATGTTACATAGTAAACCAAGGTTAGGACGCCAAGGGGGAGGTATCGGTATTTTAACCTCTAATACTGACATTAAGGTGACCAATGACAATCTCCTTAATTCAAAAACCGATGATTTTGAACGGTATTGGATTCGCACTAAGGTAGGTGATAAAAACCTTGCACTTTGCGTAGCATACTACCCCAACGATGGAACCAGTAATGATAGGGCAGATCAGTTAACAGAAGAATTAATATCAAATGTAGCAACTTTGGAGTCCATGGGTGACCTAATTTGTGTAATGGGTGATTTTAATGGTAGACTTAGAGAATTTAGAAATGAAAAGAGGCCTAGTCCAAATGGGAATCTGGTAGAGTTACTAATTGAAGTTTCTAACCTTAATGTTTTGAATTTATCCCCTAGATGTAAGGGGAAGTATACTTGGTTTAGGAATAACCTTGTTTCTACCATTGACTATATACTCATTAATGATAAATTCAATCATTGTTTTGATAATATGATAATTGACGAAGCCGGGAACTTTTCAATCGGTAGTGACCACTGTATGCTTATATCATACTTTAATATTCAGGCTGCAAAAGCAGATAATATATCTGGACCTTTCCCAGAGAACCGAGAAAGTCCCAAAATCTGGAAAATAGATAATGATTCTGACTGGAAGTTATTTGAGGAAAAACTATCTTTTAGATTAAGCAATTGGAAATCATCAAGTTTTAAATCCCTGGATGAAATGTGGCTTAATTGGCGTGAAATAATATTAGATGTAGCAAATGAGGTAATAGGTCACAAGACTATTTCCCATAAACTGCGATCATTTTGGGACAATGAACTGAAGCAACTAATCAAAAATCGCAAAGAAGCTAACAAATTTTGCAGGTTTTGGAGAGCATCGGGAATCACAGATCTCGAGGCTTTTCAAGACATTTGGAACATTTATTTAGAAAGAAAAGAAAAAGTTACATTATACATTAAAAGGAAAATGATTGAAAATCACATTAAGGTTATTACTAAGAATGCAAGCAATAAATCTTCAAGCTCCAAATCATACTGGAACACCTTAAATATGTTTAATCAAAAAAGTAATGCCCCTATTAGAATTGCTCACCCAAAGTACCCAGATATCATTATCGATGACCCCAAACAAGTCTCTGCTATTATTAGGGAATATTGGGCAAAGGCCGGTAATAAAAATCGCAATAAACATTCCTCTGTCAATGATTTTTCCAAAGACCTTAAACATATGGAAATGAATCTTACAGACACAGCGGACCCTACGAAAAGCATAATTGATCAAGTATATTTTGACAGGGAATGCCTTGCAACTCACATTAAGAAGTTGACCAATGGCAAAGCCATGGGTACAGATTTAATTCCAAACGAATTTTTAAAATATGGCGGCCAGGCAATTTGTGAAACACTTTTCGATATTTTTACCCAGTGCAAAGACTTTGAAAAATTCCCAGTACAGTGGAAGGAGGGTGTTCTTAAACCACTTCATAAAAGTGGAGATCAAAATATCCAAGATAATTACAGAGGTATTACAGTGACCTCAAATGTATACAAGCTATTTTGTTCAATCGTAAATGTCCAACTTACCTCTTTCTGCGAAGAAGAAAATATTTTTGGAGAATTTCAAGGGGCGTTTCGAAAAGGTCTAAGATTAGAAAATAACATATTTACGATGAAAGCTTTATGCAGTCTTAGAAAAAGTGAACGAAAAAGTACATACCTGGCATTTTTAGACATTTCAAAAGCGTATGATGTAATTGATCGCGACCGGATGTTTTTGGCACTTTGGAAAAAAGGAGTTAGAGGTAAGTTGTGGAGACTATTACGGCAAATGTATCATGATAATAAGACTAAAGTTGCCTTCGGAAACGGAAATGAAACAGATTGGTTCACTCAACCATATGGAGTTAAACAGGGCTGTGTCTTATCTACAACTCTGTTCTCCATCATAATGACTGATCTATATGACCAGCTGATAAATGCAAAAGTGGGTATAAAATTTGAAGAACAACTTATTCCAACACTCATGTTTGCAGATGACATTGTCCTCTTTGCCAACACTGAAAATGAACTGAATGCCATGCTCAAAATTGTTAATGAATTCGCAGTCAAATGGGGTTTTAACTTTAGTCAGAAAAAATCGAAAGTTTTGGTTATTGGGAAGAAAACAGACAAGACAAAAGAATGGTCATTTGGAGACTTGAAACTGAGTGAAGTGCATTCCTACAAATATTTAGGTTATATTTTCCACAAAAACCTTAGAGACAATGACCACATGAATGAAACAGCCCTAAAAGCAAAAAAGCTTAATGGCTATATCAAATACACATTAAATAGACATATGAATGTTAAACGAATTGACTTTGGAAACCAACTTTATAAAAGTAAACTCTTATCCAGTGTCCTTCACTCATGTGCTATATGGGCTTCGGACAATAAATCTTATGAAACGCGCCTTAAGTCAATGCAATATAATGCAGGCCGCGCTATATTTGATATTAAAGGCACACCAGCATACGAAGCCATTGTGTCTGATTTGGGTTGGACCCCCATGAAATATACGGTTTTAAAAAGACAAGTTGAGTACTATATTTATATCAAATCTAAAAAACCAACTTCACTTAATGCAAGACTATTAGCTAGCATGGAGAAAAGGTTTGAAATGGGCAAAGGGAACCACTGGAACTATGTTAAACATATTGATGCTACCCTCAAACTGATGCAATTAAGCGGTATCTCTGAAACTGCCGAAAATATTTCGTACAGTTACCATAAACAGATACTAGATCTCTCAAAAAAGTACATAAATGATGGTATTTTGGAAAAAAGTAGTCTCGACAAATACCATCAACTTAATCTGATCCCAAAAAAGGGAAGAGCAACATACCTTTATAATGATTATGACTTCCAGTCGTCACGCATAAAATTTTTAGCACGCGCTGGTAAGTTTAATCTAAACTCAGAGAAATCCAAATGGAAAAATCTTAACCCACCCATTTCACCCTACTGTGAAGAGTGCCCAGACAAAATCGAAACCCTGGAGCACAGACTTTTTGAATGCCCCTCTTATGAAACTGCGAGAAACAAGTTTTATTTGGAAATGAAAAATCAAGTCCCTAGTCCAGTTTTAGAAGTATACCTTGAGTCAGAAACAAGCGATAAATTAAAATGGATAATAGGCGATGAGGCCAGGATTTTAGGTGGACATGATATTAGCGTCACGGTAGATAGATTAAATAAAATATTACTGAAGAACATCTTCTGATTTTATATTTTTTAATGCATAATGAATGTTTTTAAAGTGATTTTAGTTAAGTTTCTTTAAGCCATGTATACAATGTTTTAACTTTTGAGTATAGACGCACCCATTGAGAGTGCCACTGTTACAAATAGTGTAGTGTCTAAATAAATAAATAAAAAAAAAAAAAAAAATAGTGACTACAAAGTCGCATTAAAGCATGCAACAAAAACTTATTTTGGGTTCTAAATAAATCTTTTCATCTTCTTTACTTGTCAAATGCCTTCATTTTAGCTTTGTTTACAATTTGAAAAATAGAAAATTATTTTACCAGCCATGATCAGATCGTTTTTAATGAAGCAAAATGACATTTCTATGCAAAGTAGTTCCAAAATATGCACTTGACATAAATATATATAAAAATGTACTCTTAAGATAGGCTATGTTTATGCGAATTATGAACAGATTCCATGATTGGTATCTGAGAATGTAAACCAGACGTAGACCTATTTCTGTAAAATTGTCCCAAAATGACATTTTGAGTGGTAACAAGACTGAAGAGAAAAATATGAAAAAATAAAACTTTAATAGCTTATTACAGCCATTGATATAGATTACTGCTTTTCTGATGAGCCAAAGCATACTATCGGGGACTACATGTTCGACAAGGTGGATTTGATCGTTAATTCATCTGGTCAAAATTGATAAATTATTTAAAACTCGACTTACTTGTCGTAACGTTAAACTCGATTTCACCGAGTTTCTCCGAGATTGCTAACTCCCATGGTTCTAATCCTCCTGGTAAAGTATGATGGTCACTCCGAACTCCTGATATAGATATAAGCAAAATCAGACCAAAAGTAGAGCTAACAATGGTCGACATCATGATAAATTATAGGTCTAAGCCTACAACAAGTGCAGTGCGGATGTTCAATTATTTGAAGCGATAAAAAGGATTATAAATCCTGCTTAAAGTTAATGGTTTCGTGTCAACTGCAAGTCATTCTATCAAACGCGAAATTTTTGGCTTTCAATCAGGTCGCTTTTGAGTATATCGACTGCTTAGTCAAAAGGTTAATACAATACAATACGTTTTGTGCATGCTCGGTGTGAGTCAATATTTTTATTGGTGTCAACCAAAAAAATCCTAGGAGGCTCCGTTAAGGTTTCATGCCCTGTTGCAGAACCCCTGTTTTAAATACGTTTTAGCAGGAGTATATTAATACAATCTAAGCCAAATCCCTTGGAGTTTATTCAAGTTACAGCGGAGTTAAACAGGGGTTCTTTTTAGCAAACTCCTACTAAAAAATCCTATTTATAACTTCGCTGATATATAATCTCAATTTAAGTACCAACACGTTTTACCACTAGGAAACTATAATATGGTCATTTATTGATGTATATTGGCTATAATCAGGGCAATATGTTTGAGTACATGAAAACTATTGAGGGTGTAAACAAGGGTCTATTTTTATATTTTTAATCTTTATGTATAATTACTTTGTTTCGAGGAAATTTTCCCAGGGGATATACTTTAATATTTTAAAAGTGCATAACACTATATCAATCTTTACCTGGAAAAAGTTAAGAGATACCAGGAGAGTTTTATACCTATCAATTTCAAGAATACGTATTGGCAATATAAATGGTTTTCAAAAACATTTTCAAAAATACTCACTTTTGTATACATATTTTCATGCGTACTATTCGACGAATTGATTTCAAATGTTCAGGGCCATTGTATAGAAATCTAAAAAAAATATTGGTTTCTGGGCATTCTGGGTAAATTGGATTGGATTTGGATTGGAATTGGATTTCAACAGGTGCAAATGTTAGGACAATACTTTATCTCCAGGAAAAGCAATCATAGAGATGATAAAATAATTTCGACTTGTGGACAGGGGAGATGCAAACAACCCACCCACATGTTTTCTGAAACGTTATCCTGATTTTCAACCCCTCCCACCCCTGCTTTTTCAATTTTTGTTGCATCGATAAAGTGAAAAACAATATTTCCCATGTTATTTTCCCATAGGGAAAACTCATGCGATCCATTGCTTTCTGCTAATTTTGGTCACCCATAGTGGATATATTTAAAAAAACAAAGGAATCACCCATTCCTTGAAAGGGGTTAACTGTGAGTCAAAAGACAACATATTGATGCAGCAAAAAACAGGGGTGGAAGGGGTTGAAAATCAGAACAACATTTCAGAAAAACACATGGTTGGGTTGTTTGCATCTTCGCTGTCTCGAAGCCAAAATTATTTATTATCTCTATGAGTGCTTTTCCTGTAAGTAATGCATTGGCCTAACATCCAACATATGACTGTCCGAAATCTGTTGCGCTAATTCCCTCCTCTTTTATTAGATAAGTCAGCTTTCCGTCCCTCGATCGTGTCTGTAATGCCTTATCTGCACATTTTAAGGTAAACCGCTTGACACATTGATTCCAAATGTTCAGGGATGTTTCTTTGTGTGGAAATGTGATATTGAGCTTTGGATATTCTGAGTAAATGTTAAGGCATCTATCTTGAACTTTCCGTCTTTCCGTTTGGCTGGAAACCTGTAGACAAGGCTCGATGGACAAGATTTTAGAATGGGAAATCCAAAATGGCCACCTTGACATTTTTTTCTCCAATTTACCGAGAAAGACAAAAACTAATCAGTTCTACACTTTCATATTACAGAGAAGCATCCTTTAAAACTTTCAGACCAGTCAATGAAATGGTTTGACTGGAAACCTATACCGAAGCCTTGGCAGACAAGATTTGAGGATGGGAATCCAAATGTCCACCTTAATGTCAGAATACTACCAGGCATATGACCTGAAAATACTGAGATGTGCACGATATGGGTGTAACAGTAAACTAATGGAATAGACACGCGACCTTAAGAAAATGGCTTTGAAAATATATATCAGAAACGCCAAGCACACAACCTTAAAACTGAAGTGCAATTTGAAACACACCTTCCTACTTATATATTGGGATACGGTCTTCCAAACAAATATGTTTACCAATGAGTCTGTGTAATCCACGACTCTATTTGTACATCTTTGAGTACTGAACAACTAAATAAGGGGGTAAGGAAGAATTTCATGACATCATTACATGAACACAATTGATCTATGTACAACTCAGATATTTATAGTATCACCCTTTATTGTCTAAAATATACAAAAATATTCCTTATCAAATTTTCACTTCATACATGTAGCTTCAAATTCTAATAATACACCAAGTTAGCAATCATGTTATGTCTGGTAGAACACTAGAAATAAATGTAAAATATATTTTATGTTCAGAAATATGGAATTAAACCCACGTCCTCCATTTGCGACTGAACCGTACCCTGTTTTCCTTTTAAACGTGGTCACACGTGGTAGGGTAGTGTGTCTATACCCAAAATAACTACATGGTATTATTGTTCATTCGATTTAAACTTTAACTACAAATCGAGTGGTCTATACACGTGCCAATTTTTATGAATACGTCGTAAAAAGAATAGCACAATAACTTGTGTATGACAAAGGTGAAATAAGGTGATGAGAACTTTTTTTTATCCAAGTATTGTTTGAATAGTGGTTGCTAATACACCTATAGCTATCTAAAACTTACCCAAGGAGGGGTTATTCTTAGTAAACATTTACAGAGGGGTGCAGTTCGGTAGAGATATCAGTGGAGCCCTCCCTCCGTCAATCCGTTCATCAGGTGCATAATAACAGTATTATTTTTGTACAATAGGTGTTTTGAGTGATAATTTATCATTAAAGGCCTTTTGAGAAAACTTATTTTGAAAATGTATTTACGTAAACTGGGTCACACTAAATAAATTTGAAATTGATTTCCATGCATTGTACCCGGTTGACATTAATAGTTTATATGTTTGTATGTTTATGTATCTTTATTACATTCATAGTATAATCGAGAGTACATAATTATAATATGCAAAAACGTACGTTTGATTGACAATAAATATACAGTATATATACAATATATGTACAATTACAAACTATAAGTAAAAACATTTTAGATACTAGAGAGATTTCGCACATACGTAAAATACAACTTATAACGTATACTTATACTTATAAGAAGACGTACAAGGTGTTTCATAATGGAGAGGTTAAGCAAATACGGTTTTTCAAAACGTATACGTAAACGCAAAGTACATTGAATCAACATAGGATTGTATCGCTTTAGTCTACTTCAGATACCCGTTCAACTTCAAAGTTGCGTGTTTAGAACGGGAGATTTAGAAATTTCACGTTGCTATCAACGGGAATCATTATACTCATGTCTGTTGAATACTATCCTTGCAATTTTGTTTTCGATGCAGAGTATAATTCTTTCTGAAGAAGATGATGTATGTTACGCATGATTTAACTCCAATAATCTTACGAAACGAGCTCGTTTAAAATATGTATTAGAGAACCAGCTATTGAACTTCATCAATGGGATACTATGTAATCATTACAAGCTATGGTGTAGTCTAAACAAACACTAGAGCTAAACGGCTATTTATGTGTGAACTCTACATGTATTTGTATAGGACCGATTGATACGGTTAAGTTGCGTTTTGGATTTTATACGGTAGCTTAACCTCTCCAGTGTGGGTATTTCGTCAGGAAAGATCTTCTCAGACTGTAATAAATAAAGGTCAAAGGGATGCCATTTGTACTTGAATTGTAGCATGTTTAGTTGATCCAAATGTGTTTGTCTAGAATAAAATAGGCTCATATATAGTACATACATATAGACCCATCTCTTCTCAAATTGACTTTTTGGAGATACTCGTTATGAAACACCCTGTATGTCATTTGTTGAGCTACTGAATGGGTCGTTTCCAGGAATTGCTAGAACCTACTGGTTTGATTGGTGTTTCAAATCGATGGTTAAAGTATTTGATTGGATACTGTTTCTACTCAGCCGATTAATTTAGAAAATGCTTGCGGTCAATTGTTCCACACACATGTAGGTATTCAAATTATTGACAATAATTTCATTTATGGCAATGTGAGAGTCGGTTAAGGTTTAGGTATGAACAAGCCCTAAGAAGACCATTCCCCGGTTATCCCAGGTAAATGTTTCTGGTAAGTTACACTGAACGAAACATCAAGCTTCAGATCTCGAGAGTACGAGATGAGACTTCAGACGAGATATCGATAGGATTGTAGTTGGAGGGTTTTCTCCCTAGGTGCGTACAAAATCCATTAACATCAATGTAAGTTATACATTTCGATTCTTTTTATCGACATTTATCTCTTGTATATACATTTATCTATCGCTGAATCGTTTTGTGAAAGTTTTATCGTAATATTTCACACAAAAAACGCCAGTTTAAAAATGTTCAAAAAAAAAAAAAAAAAATTACAAACACGTTTTATCTTTTGTCTTTATGACTTTGTAGTATTATGTTTGAAGTATTCAATTGATATCTCGTACATATGGTTTAAAACTTGAATTTATACAAAAGAATTAATTTATTGATGAATATGGACACGTCACATATTACTCGAGTCTCTACCTTTCAGCTAGATGTAACTTCATTTATTTCGTATGTACTCGTATTTCGTATGTAAAAATTGCTACACGCACCTAGAAATTATTTTTGATAAATTTTATAAATATTTAAGAATATTAATTATATTTAGGATGAAGCGTTGCCTGTCTGGATTTAGATATTTCAAAATTTCTTTTCGAAGTTTGACACATGGTTAAATTTTCTCGCTGTAGCTAAAAGTGGCTTCCGGTTCCAGACGTCAATAATGTAGGAAACTTTGAAATTATTCTCGCTTAAGAAATCAAATATTACAATAGATTCAGACGGAGATGTGTGCTGATGTTTCTCAAATCTATACATAAAGGTATATTTCATATTATTATGCTGTATTTCCTGTGTGTGTGACACATTGATTTACAATATTTACAACACCAAGGCAGCTAATCTTTCTACTCAAAGCCGGAATATAGAGAAGGTTTGGACCTGAGTAAGTCACATACATGTCCTCAAGTTACGTTCAATAGACTCCATCCAATCTAATA